CCCCCTCGCCTCCCCCTCCCCGTTGCATGACTCGAAGCGGTAATTAGCACTACGACAGTTTCGGACTTATTGCCCGGCATTGTCAGCGGAAGAAAAACGACTTTGCCGGGAAAGATTTTTGAGGCCATTTCGTGGTTTTTATAGCCGCCTGGGACGGGACCAGCGCGCGCCCGCCTTTCTGGAAACGTCCGCAGTCTGAGCGGATTATGCATTGCGTTCGCTTCTGGGATTAAAATCGTTTTTTTCTGAAGTCGGTGCCTTACAGTGAACTACTTTAAGATATGAGAAAACCATGAAAAAACAAAAGTATGTAATGTGTTTTCTTTCTTCCCTCCCCAGGTGACCATGAGCGTGTCTGTGCCTTCCATGAACGCGGCCATGGGCCGTCTGACCGGGCCGCTGTCCTCGCCACTGTCCAGCATGCTGGGCTACGACGGCGCCATGCACGGCAGCCTGATGGTGGGGACGCCCGCGGCCGCCTCCCCCCGCACCTCCCCGCACCACAGCGCCACCTGGGGGTGTCCGCAAGTGGTGAGTACACCCTCCGCACTCGACTCGCCGCCTTGTAACAACGCGATGGCCCCTCTAATCCGTGTTTTATTGTTCTTTGCAGAAGCAGGAGCCGATCGATCGTGACCACGACAGCAGCGGCGTGTCCTCCATGGCGTCCTCCATGGCCCACGGCTCGTCCTTCTTGTCCTCGGCGGCCAACACCTCGCCCAGCTCGAGCTCGTCGGCCGGCTCGCCGCCCGGTCACCACGGCTACCACCACCTCCACCACCCCTCCAGCCCCGCCGGCGCGGCCGCCCCCGTCCACAGCACCCCGGTGGCGCCGCACCCCGGCCCCGCCTCCAGCCCGCCCACCTCTGCCGCCCCCGCGGCCGCGTCGGTGCCCAGGACGCCCGGCTCTGTGGACGACAACAGCCGATCGTCGACGTGCTCCAACTCGGAGGATGACGCCGACGAGCAGGTCCGCCGCCTGCGCGCCACCCTGGAGGGCACCGTCAACGGCGGCCACGCGTCGCCGCTGCAGTGCCAGCTGTGCAGCTTCACGGCCGACAGCAGGTGCGTTTCGCTAGGCTGCGTGACCCTTTTGCTCTTTGCTTTGAACGTGTGCCTAACCCAACCCTTTCCCGACCCGCAGGGAGCGCCTCTCCGAGCACGTGGCCGCGCACTTCAAGTGCACGCTGTGCGACTTCTCCGCCGCCTCCACCGAGGGCCTCCGCGCGCACCTCCAGGACGCGCACGACCTCCAGATGCCGCAGCAGATGTCGCCGCAGCCCTGCGAGGACGGCTACTCGGAGCAGGACCAGGAGGAGGACCTGGAGGGCGTCGCCACGCCGCGCGTCAACTCGCAGGGCAAGGTGAAGACGTTCCGCTGCAAGCAGTGCGACTTCGTCGCCGTGACCAAGCTCGACTTCTGGGAGCACACCAAGCTCCACATCAAGCAGGAGAAAATGCTGTGCTGTCCCAAGTGCCCTTTCGTGACGGAATACAAGCACCACCTCGAGTATCACCTGCGCAACCACTTCAACTCCAAGCCGTTCAAGTGTGACAAGTGTTCATACTCGTGCGTCAACAAGTCCATGCTGAACTCGCACCTCAAGTCCCACTCGAACGTGTACCAGTACCGCTGCGCCGACTGTACCTACGCCACCAAGTACTGCCACTCCCTCAAGCTCCACCTGAGGAAGTACGGCCACCAGCCCAGCATGGTGCTGAACCCTGACGGCTCGCCCAACCCGCTGCCCATCATCGACGTGTACGGGACCCGGAGGGGCCCCAAGAGCAAGACGTCCAAGGCCGCGCAGGCCGCGCTGCAGCAGCACCAACTGCAGCAGCAGGTGCCGCTGTCCCCGCAGCAGTTCGGCATGTTCCCCAACCCGTACGGCCTGCCACCCATCTTCCCGTACCCGGCCGGCCCCCAGGACGCCGCCATTGCCGCCCCCGCGGCCCCCGCGCCAGTGGCACCGAGGCAGGGCAGCCCGCTCCTCCACCGCTGCAACTACTGCGAGTTCTCGACCCCCGAGGCCGAAGTGCTCGCACAGCACGTGTTCGTCCACGCCGAGGCCATGCAGAGCAACCTGATGCAGTACTTCTCGTCCAACAACAACAACAACTACTATCAGGACGACGCCAAGGGCTACTTTGGCAAGACCGTCCCCCCGCCGGTCAGGCAAGCGTCTCCACCCGCCGTGGTCGCGCCGCCCCCGGCCCAGTCACCACCGAGGACGCCGTCGAGCCCCGTCAAGGTAGCGCCGTCGCCTGCCGCCGCGACGCCCGTGGCGGCGCCTGTGGCCGCCCTGGACCTGAGCAAGCCGGAGACCGGCGTCCAGGAGGAGGTTCGGGAGACCAAGAACAGGCGGAAGGGGCGGGCCTTCAAGCTGGAGAGGATCGCCATGCGCCTGCAGCACCAGTCCTCCGGGGACGAGGCCGAGCCGGACCAGCTGCTCGTCAAGGTGCCTCGGCTCAGCGCTGAGGCTCCCGCCGCCTCTGCCGGCCCCGCGCCCAC